TTACAAAGGTATGTCTTCAATAGCTGATCTTTTCAAAACTATGCACCTAAGCCCAAGGCTTGGCTCACTGTGGTAAAAATGTTACTTAGCCTGTGCAATGCTATACAGAGGTTACGTCCGGTTAAAGCGTTTTGAAGATGTATTCAGGGTTTAAAGTTCTCCGTGCGGCGTTTGGCTGCGGGGGAAAAAAAAACATTGTCGTCCTACATTTAAAAACACTTGTTGACATCAGTTCGAGTTCATGAGTTCGACTACCAATGTATGAGAGGAACACAGCTTTCACTCTCAACCAAACTAACCTTACTAGCCAATCAGAAGTTTTTGCTCTTATAAACACGAGACGCGCATAATAGTATCCAATTGCAGAGTCGCAGCTGATGAATGGAAAAGAAGCCTGGGTCTCGAGCGCGACTCATTGGAAAAAGCTGCGAGGCGCAATCAAAGATTTCCATCTAGCGTCATTTGCATAGAAAAGCTATTTTAAAAAAAAGCAGCGGAGCTTTGTAAACAGCTCTGAGTAATCACGTCATCTCCATAAGAACGATATGATTGCCAGAACGAATTTACCGGGATTTTTGAAAAGGTGTATGTTCACACATCTCTTAACGGTAATTTACCAGTAAAGACTGTATTTGTGAAAGGGGCTAAACTCTTCCTCTGCATATGCGGTGAGTTTGCTTAACGTTCATGTGGGAAAACTCACTTGATTTGTAACGTAAATCATTTAAACCAGTGCCAACACAGGAGAGTAGCCTACATCAACATATTTTTAAATATGCGAGTTATTGTACATCGCGATTTCAAAATAAAAGTTTCTGACTTTGCACGTGGCCCAATTTAAATGGATTTAAACGTTGGCACCCTCTGCAGGTATTTGTTATAAATGTAGGCATATTACATTATGTATTGTGGTGTTCAATAAAACCATGTACTTTGTTTTGATACTTTATTTGAGGCCAATTATTATTGCCTCATCTTTACTTTATATATAAATATAGTCATATTAAAGCCTTTTCCACTTAGTTCTATTTGTATTACTAAAAAATATCAGATTACTAACTTGTCAAAATAATCAGTAGATTACTTGATTAGCAAAATAATCATTAGTTAAGCACTAGATTAGTTAAAACATTTCAAAATACAAGTGCATAGTTTTACTTTTTGTGATTAAAAGACGAATATTTTGTCATTTGAAAATTTCTTAAAGTATTAAAACATTGTCTCGGTCTAGTGGACCAAGTATCTGCGTTTGTTTTTTGTTTTGTTTTTTTCTCACCTTGTGAGCTAAGTGGATTGTCACACCCCTAGTATCTATGAGCGTGATAAAGCTCATCATTTTCCAAGTGTATGATATAGCTTTCATTCTTCAGGTCAATCATATATTCATGAAAAAAAAAAATCAGTTTGATGTTTTGTTTTATTTGTTTTATTTATTAGAATTTGAAAGATAATAATAACAATATTGATTGATAAGTGAGATCTGATTTTAGTTCTTTAAAAAACAAAAAAGTAGTACAAATCCTTAAGTCCTGGAATTTTATTTTGCATTATCTGTTCGAACCCTGTTTAAGTTACCAGTTCTTGGATCATTGTAATGTGTTTGTTGTTGTTAATTAAACTGAACTGTAGTTTTCTGTAGTAAACTGTCTTTGTATATTTCCTATTTTATGTTCTTTTCCTAGTATTTAATTTACCATTTATTTCTTTTGAACAAAACAATTTCAAAAATTTCATGTTTTAGATTGTAGGTCAGCTTGCACCCTAATCAGCAAAACTTGATATCAAAAGCATCCTAAATGTTACATGTGTTTGCACCATATTGTAGTGAGTAAACTTTCTTGGTATTGCTGTTTCAAATATCCCACCATAATCTGTAGTCTGAGCCTGTCAAGGTCTAATGGCAATGGCAGATGTTACTAGTTAGTTTCAAGGAAAATCGTTTACTTTTTTTGTTTGCCAAATAACCGTGTATGTGTCCCCGCAACCCCCAACCCCCGGAAAAAAGTTCAGCCTCAGGATTTTTTTTTTTTTGCTTTAACCCCTGTGTATTTTTGTCTTGCCTGTAGCTGATGTTTTGAGCGAGGAGGTAATTTTGAAGTGGTACACGGAAGCCCACATGGCCAAAGGAAAGAGTGTCTTCCTCGAGCAGATGAAGAAGTTTGTAGAATGGCTGAAGAACGCTGAGGAGGGTAAGCATGTTTGTTTGTTTCTTTTTTTTGAAACTTTCAGATTAAAATGGTTTCTGAAATCATAAATTTTGTTTCTTTCAGAGTCTGAATCCGAGGAAGAGGAGGGAGACTAAAACACCATGTCAACAGAATGTTTTGTTACAGAAGTGCTTGTCTTTCAAATTTTTTTTTGGGGGGCTTTTTTTTTTTTTTTTTTTTTTTTTTGATTCTACCTCCTGTTTTCAAACCATAACATTTAGATGTCATTTAAGGGCTTTGACAAATGGTTAATTTTAACAGATTTTTCTAATATTGAGGTTTACACCTAAAATAGCACAAAAGTTGTGGTCAACCTTTGTAATTATTTACTCACTCAAGGAACTTTTAAGTGTCGACACAGTTTGGACATCTTAAATTATTGGTATAATGATTCCTTTATGATTTGACATTCCATTGAGTTTGATCATGCCACCTTGTTTGCTTTTAAGATGCCCTTTTCTATATGGTATTGATGCCTTCATGCCCTGTCATGATCAGTGTCCACAAAGGGGAAAAACAGTCACCTTGTCTCATTGTGATGTTATTGCCAAAGAGTTAAGTCCTTCTCCCACAACATCCATCAGTGTTCTGTTCCCTGCCTATGAAACTGTACAGCGCTCATGATCACCCTGTAAAGACCCTTAAATGACTCCCAACTGCTATGATGTATCTCCATCTTATTTGTCACCGATTTCTTTAATCTGAATAACTAATTGACTTTTTTAAAGAAATAAAGACCTAGAAGTATATGCTTTGTGTGGTTCTTGTTTTATCTAATGTGCTGTTTTTGGAATTGCAAAATCAGATTTGTCCACCATTTTAAAATTGCATGCAATATGTGACTTCCACTAGGGGGCACCTCAAAACCAAAGATGAACTACTTTCAGAACATTTTTCAAAAATAATTTAATGGATTGAAAGTCATGAGTACAGACATTTTTTCTTGTACAAAAATACTTGATTAAATAGCAGCTTGTTTGATGTTTGAAATGTGCAAAAGACCACTTTTAGAAGAGCGGACAATTCAAGTATTAGAATACGACAGGCTTGTGTTCAAAATGTTGTAAAGGTAGGCCATATTATTGGTATAATGCGTTTTGACCTTTTAATTTTTAATGTTAAGTGCAAATATTTACAAACAATTTACATAAGCCTTGCCATGTTACAATATTTCCAGTACATTATGTGGTAATTCCATTGCACCTCTTTATTTACATCTGTATTGAAAAAATAACTACTTTTTAATGCAAGGAAGAGTCATTCTACACAGTCTGCAGATTCAAACAAACCTATAAGCTGAAGTTTTGATTTGTGGAAGACACGCAGGTAAACATTTTGGATATAAACAACTGGTTGGTACATCTTGATGCTTACACAAAAATAATTCTACTTTTAAATGTTCACATCGCAGATGCAGTATCTGAAAATAAATTGTAATCACAGTAAATGCTAGGCTCAAATTTGTCATCCCTACTAATTCCTTTTAATGTAAACAATAAAACAAGGTTCAGCAGATGATGTTTTGGTGGTGTACTTGAGATTAGCACACACTCTGGGACCTTTCCCCTTGATCTTAGTCAACGGGAAACACAATCTGGAACACTTTCTGAAATCAAACTAGTATTTTTTATTTATTTTTTTGTCAAGCAAGAGAGCGGCAATTAGCAATAGCCAATGAAATTCCCAGATGAAACTTCCATCTACTCATATCTCAAAAGACCACTATTGCATACATAATTTTGGTTCCATTTGGTGCAAATCAGTGGACAAAAAAAGCCATGTTGACATATATGAGTCGATATAGCTTTGTGCATGCATTTCTAGAAAATACAATTGCATAGCTATAGTTGTGGAAAATTATTGCATAATCGACGCATGAAGTGTGCATTCTAACATCGACAACAACAGAAATGTCTTAAATGGCATGTAATGCAACAAGCTTCTGTCTTGACGCTCGTGAGTTGGACTTGTGCTCAAATGGTCTTCTTTCACGCAAGTTTAGTAAAATCTACAAGACTGAATTTGGCGTTTTATGATTCAGAAGCATATGCATGCCCTTTGTTGTTACGAAGAGACCTCGATGTACCCTCTTCCTGAGTCTGCACCTGAGGGTGCGCACTACTAATCGACAGCCTACGCAACATTATGTCACTAAAGTGTGTTCTCAAATTATGACCGCAAGGATTTAGGGTAGGCTATATAACATTTGGGGTCAGGGTCATAACCCAGGGCTCGTATTAGGGATCATGTACCTTGACCAAAACATGTAAAATTATGTTCTTCTCATTATGAAATACTTCCACCGATAGCATTCAGTCATGTGCCACTTGAACTTTCTAATAAATATTTAGCATGCTTTGCCCAACCCAAATGATCATGCTGAGGATAGAATCTTGTTTACAGTCTCCTGAGAGCCATGTTGGGATCGTGGTCCCGGCGTAGATGTGGAGACAAGAGGGAGGGGATGAGATTTTTACCCGCCGTTGTACTGACAGCGACCACTGCAAACCGCAAGGTTTCAATTACCATCATGTGATGTGCAAGAGGAGGACACAAGACTGTTTTTTAAGGCGAGGGATGGTGTAGCTTACTATATCTGATACTGAAATAGCCTCCCACCAGGTGCAACTTTACACATATTCTCCGGTTACATTAACCAAAACATAGTTGATAAAGTGAACACACGCAGAAAAAGTGCAGATTCGTCTCTCTCTTTGTTGCTTGTTTTGTCTGTCCTCAGAGATAAAAAAAAAAAAACATAAAACAAAATGTTTTGTCTCTGTGCAAGGCAATGTCCCTTTACATGTAAACATTCAGAAGTTGAGTAGCGGACAGTCGGGAGAACTTCTGCTGTCACCCAGTTGTGTGCTTTTCCCCATCTCTAAGCTGCAGAAGTACGATAATTGAAAGGTGTTAGAATTCATACCCGCACAACAATCGGTTTACAATTATATGCGAAACATGTAGGTATGCGTTATTGCAGTTGATCACCTAAGAGAACAATTCAGGAAAAGGTAGAGGCAAGGTACTTCTGGCAAATAATATGAAGGTGGCATGTAAATACATTACCAAATTTGTCACAGTTTCTGGAAAGTTCTGGCAGGTCATAGTTTCACCACCTTCAAGGACTCACCATTTTCCTCTGGTTACTCAAGCAGAAGGTGCAGATGGGTCGAACCGGTGGAGTTTTGAGGTTGGTGTTGCTTTGTAAGATGTTATGATATTTCAGACATGGTTGCCCGTCCATGCAGTCCTCCCCTAGCAGAAGCACGTTAGCCAAGTGTGAAATGTAGCTCGATGCCAATCGCAGGGTCTCGATTTTTGACAACTTCCTGTCGGCCGGCTCTGTGGGGATAAGGGTACGCAGAGCCGTGAAGGCAGTGTTGACACTATGTGTGCGGTCTCGCTCCCGAGCATTAGCTGCCTGACGTTGTTTGCTCACCCCTGCAAGTCTACGACCCCCTCTGCATCTCCTCGCCTCCCTGTGGCCCTGCATGGGGCTCCCTGCGCCAGTGGATTTCTCCGAGCTTTCGCTGCCACTGTCGAGCTCATCAGGGTCAGAGGGCAAGCTCTGGGTATCGTGTGCAGGATGCTCGTGCTCCCCTGCAGTGGACTTCATGGCGTGCAGAGACAGACTGGTAGTTGTGGGTAGTCCATGGCATAGATGCTGGCTTCCCATGGTACTTTAAGCTGAGTGAAAATAGCAGCCGGGAGGCAGCTGCGTCTGATCCGGTATCCAGAGATCTTCCGTGGCCCCGTCGCGCTTCAGCATACCATTTCTTGAATGACTGATCCCTTTCTGGATTTGTCCATGTGGCTGTGGAAAAGGATGGACAGGTGGAGCTGGGGGGCACCTGTCATGTCCCAAAGAAGGAGGACGTTCGAAGATATATAAATAAGTGCACGCACCAACACACGTTCAGGGATTTTGGTGTTTTTTACACCTTTGGCCTGCAACATTTGGGTACCAGGACGGTGATCTGACCTACCTTCTCTGAGAAGACCTTTGTTTTTGTCCCTTCATTCTGGTCCATTCATCCCTTGCTCCTGATATTGTTTGCTCAACATTTCATGTTTTCTATAGCTTATAAAGTCTTTGTAAGTTATATAATTTGTACGCAATAGCTAAGCAACCCTGTTCTGTTTAACCCAGTGCTAAATTTAGCTCCAAAAAAGTTTGCAGACAGAGACTGTTGTTGTTGCCTCTAAAATTCGTATCACGTGGACCATGGATCACTCCAGGTCCAAAAGGAGAGACACAGTTGGGATTTTACTGCATATAGGGGGCAGTGTTTCAAATCTGACAGAATGTAATTCAGAACACCTGTTTGACATGAGAATAACTGTGAGGAGAGTTCTTGGAAAAGGTGCTACTATTTAGGAAACTGGAATCATTTTGCTTACTTGAAGGTGTACTCAACATTGGTGTTCTGAAGTTTTCTAAAAGAAAAGCTATTTTGCCAGAGGTTTTAACATCCACACCACCACCTCCAGTCGCTTTATGTAGCTCACAACATTAGTGCTGTATAAGAGTGCTCTCATATTAGTCATCCTGTTCCTCTCTAATGCCCTGTCTGACTGAACAGCCCAGGTGTGTTCCTGTTTCTCACACGCATGTACTGTGGTCAATCTTTAGAGGCAGTAAAAATATCAGTTAGTGTTTACCATACCTATATTACAATCCTGCTTTGTTTGTATGGTAGTTTAGGCAGTGGTTTTAAAGGTTTTGGTTTATTTATTAAGGTTAGTTACACTCTGTTGTGAAAAAATAATTAGCTTGATGACAGTTTTAGCTTTAGCCAGATTCTATGGTTTCCTTAGACTGAGTAGTAGGACACTAGGTTCATATTTTTCAGTATTCACCACTAGATGTCAGTAGCACACCACTGGAGATTGTAGTTCCATTTTTTTAAGGCAAGAAGCACAAGTCAAGTCTAAGAATTGACAAGAATATAAGTGAACTAATTAGGCCTGAAAACAAAAATAGGTTTTAATGAACCGTTAACATATTAGAGGTTTCAGTGTGGCACCTATGAGCAATCAAATCTAAAAGTATGGAACTTGTCAGTGCTTCATTGAAACCCAAATTAATATCGACTTCCGTTCAGCCATTTGGTAAGTTTGTCCAAATGAATTATTCTTATACATTCACATGACAGCTCTTGACTATTTTGATTAACCTTTAAGCTCTTTCTGAAGACCTAAATTACAATACTCGCATTCCCAAAGTTCATGCGTGGATGTTAACATGTGCTGCATCCTCAATGAGCTGCCTGTGGCCCAAACATATGCTCCAGTGGGTGTGTTGTTTATCCTGACAGCATCGCCTCTAATCTTTAAGAGTGCCTGCTGGGATGCAAAACAAAGATACACCATTATAATCCTCCGAGAGTTTGCTTGGCACTTAAATTTGCAGGTGAAAGCTCCTGGTAAATTGCAAAACTCAGGCATTGGCTTATAGCGACGGTTTCCTGGATACCCACCTTCGTGGACGCAAGCAGAGCATGAAACCATTCATATTTTCATTGAACTGTTTTGCAGTTCCAAGTTTACATAGACAATATGACATAGTTTACAATCCAGTTCCAGTTGAATGAAGTTGAGTGCCAATTAGCATTTTAAAGGCCTAATTTCCTGTGGAGCAAGATTATAAAGCTCTGTGCACGCACCTGTTTTAAAACTTTTGGAAATAGTGTGATTAGATACCCAAATTAGAACACTTTCAAAGCCCCAACGAAAACTGCAGAGTCTCTGGCAGTTTTTTCTCTCGGGTTTTGGAGTGCTCTTTAATACAGGTCACCATACAAAGGACACCCCATCCACCTACACATAGATTTGTACACTTTAAAAGCAACTAATCTATTTTGAAACCATGCCATAAAACATAATCCAAGTGCTAAGGGCAATTGCAAATCATGTCTGTGAGATGCTGGTCTATTAAACAGCAGTGCCAAGAGACCATTAGCATCTTGTTATGCAGTACATTTTCACGTTCCTCATCATACATTAAGTCATAATATATTACTTTGAATTTTAACTTCACACTTTTTGAAGATGTAAACCATATTAATTCCCAATTAAGTGAACAAAGGGGGTGAATTTAAAAAAAGCACTCTGGTTTGAATGTATGTTGCAATTTTTACTAGTTGTGCTAATTAGGCTAATGGTGCTACGCTAACTTCTAAATGTTAACCCAGTAAGCTTATCCCACATGTTAGCCTTTTGCTTTGAATTTAAGGAACAAAAAACAGGTCCTTAAAATTGTGCTGTGAAATAAGTAATGGCAGATCATTTTTTTCATACAATGATGAAGATCTGAAAATGTGCAAATGGATTATCGAAAACAATTTGACTAAATAATTTGAGAAGTCCATACGTCAACAGAGACAAGTCTGCCTTTTCACCAGAAAAATTACAAGAAATAAACATAAACGCACACACACAGATAAATCATTCACAATAAGATAAAAAACATGCATTTAGAAAATAATTAGGTTAAATTTTCCCCTCACGACTTTAACAACAACATCCTCTAGGAAGTGTCATAATTTTGGAGGGAAAAATGGAAATAACAATTAAAGTATTAACAAAAGATTTAATGACCCTCATGTTTTGATCGTTTTCATTTTGTTTTTGTCACTCTAAAGTTACAGCGTTCAAAAGCAACTGCGTAACAGGAACAACCCAGTGAACAGAACAAAAGACAGACAGAGAATGGAAGAGACTGAGTGTGAGACCATATAATAAGGTAAAGAAACCTATGACAGTCCAGCACAGATAAGAGACACACTTCATGCTTTCATTTCTCTTGCTTGGCTGGAGAACCTTATGAGGGTTCCTCTAGTGCCCTTGCTGACCATTAAAGGCAACTAATTGGAGCCCAGGGACAGACAGCTCTGAGGGCTGTAGAAACGTCTCAAAGAAAAGAGTTCCCAGAGAAGATCTCTACAAGGGAAAAAAAGTAAATACTATACTGCAGTTTAGGACCACAGTCCATCATGTACCTTCTTGCTACTCCAACTCAAGGGAGGAAAGGAAAAAAGGAAAGGGAAAATGTCTGAGGTGATGGGTTTCTGGGATATACAGTGCCTTGTGCCTCGTTTTTTTTTTTCACGTTTTATGTTGCTGCCTTATGTTAAACTGCTTAAATGTACTTTTTTTCCCCCCACATCAGTCTACACTTCATACACCATATTGACAAAGCAAAAACAGAATTGTCACAACTTCGTAAATTAATTAAAAATAAAAAAATGGAAATAAGTACATTGCATAAGTATTCACACCCTTAACTAAATATTTCGCTGAAGCACCTTTACAGCCTCAAGTCTTTTTTTGTTTGATGAAACAAGCTTTGCTCATCAGCATTTGGCGATTATCTGCTATTCTTCTCCTCACCTCTTCACCTCTCAAGCTCTGTCAGGTTGGATGGGGGCAGACGCACATTTTCAGGTTTCTCCAGAAATATTTGATTGGGTTCAAGCTCAGGCTCTGGCTGGGCCACTCAGGGACATCCACAGTTGTCTATAAGCCACTCTTGCTGTGTGTTTGGGTCCATTGTCCTGTTGGAAGGTGAACCTTCTGCCCAGTCTGAGGTTCTGAATGCTCTGGACTGGGTTTTCATTAAGGCTATCTCAACATTTTGGTGCATTGAGCTTTTCTTCTACTCTGACGAGTTCATCAGTCCCTGCCGCTGAAAAACAGCCCCACAGCATGAGGCTGCTACCAGCACACTTTACTTTTGGGATGGTACTCTGCAGGTGATGAGCAGTGCCTGGTTTCCTTCAAACATGATGCTTGGCATTGAGGTTCATCAGACCAGGGAATATTATTTCTCACAGTCTGAGTGTCCTTTAGTTGCTTTTTTGCTAATTCTAAGTGTGTTTTCATGTGTCTACACTGAAGAGAGGATTGAGTCTTGCCACACCGCCATAAAGCCCAAATCGATGGAGTGTTGCAGTGGTGTTTGTCCTTCTGTAGTTTTCTCCTATCTCCACATATAATCATGGAGCTCAACTAGAGTGACCAGGGCCGTTTCTATGCATAGGCGAGCTAGGCAGTCGCCTAGGGCGCCACCAGCTGAAGGGGCGCCAATGAGCGCACGTACTGGCACTTTTAGCAGGGTTGTGATAAAGAGTGGCACGGTCATCCTGAAATATGACTGCCCCCACTGGATCCCCCAACATTATTGGGCTAGAGTACTGTCAATCTGACAATGCCTCTAGATCAGAGTGCTGTCAATTGCTGCCTGATTGTTGCATGCAAAGTTTGCATTTGGAGCGCTCAACAACGACATTAGATCAATGGGCTCTGTCAGTGCTTTGGCAAGGTAACACTTTTTTTGCCATGCAATTTAGCATAAGGCAGCAACATCACAAAAAGTGAAAAAAAAAAATAAAAAATATGAAGGGGTATGAATACGCTGTATTCATATAAGGCGCTGTATGGTTTACTCTGAGTCATCATGCTTGAGAGATCTGAACTATGGCCAGAAAACTGCACTCCTTCTCAGCTTTTCCCTTTTCTCCTCTAATCTCCTGTGCGGTGGTCTTAACTCATTGTAGTAAAAGTATACTATCCATGTTTCTTTTGGCATATTGATTGCCATTTGTATAACCTTAGTTTTACTACAAATACCATGGTTAAACTATGGTTAGTATAGCAAAACCATGGTTAATTTGTGTTTACCATGGTTTAACTATAGTAACCATGTCTTTTGGTTTTATTTGTGGTAAAACCATGGTTAATTTTTGTCAGGGAAGAGACAGCATGGACTTGGTTTTAACAGATTTGTACACATACATGTGTAGCTTCTTGAACAGCCTCTTAAACGCCACTAATCGGATCTCAGACTAGCATACAGTGACATTTAGAAGCAACTTCTCCATTTATCTTTGTGAATTAATGGTTCATTCAGGAATAATGTACAGTTATCTGGTCATTATCGCAAAATAAACCCAGACAGGGTGATCAGGACCTTGGCATAAAGCAGACGGCTCTTGTAGCACTCTGAAGGGGTTTATTTTATGCTAACGAGTGGCTAACTGCTGGCACAACTATTTACAACATAAACATATAAATAAATACAAGGTCAGGTAAGTAATTTAACTTTAGATAAGCTAATTTACAACATTTATAGTTATTCATTTAGCAGACACTTTTTTCTAATTTAAAGAATATAAATGAGTTAAACAACCAACACCGTAATAAAAAGGATAGACTGTGAGCAATCTGTTGAATATTAAATGGAAATAAATAATTAAATGAAATAAATATAAATGTTTTTCATTTATTAGGTCAATGCATCATAAAAAGTTTCTTTAGCTCATGGAGAAATGGAGACCACTTTAAAATCAAAAGAAAAAAACAAGAAATTATGTTTGTACATAGAAGGCTGTTTTAGGACCATTAAAAGGATGGTTCACCTGAAAATGTAAAATTCTGTCAAAAAAATTTAATTTATAAAAAATAATAAATAAATAATGAATAGCCTACAATGGGTGTGTATAATACTGCAATGAAAATCATTTGTATAATTTAATTATTTAAATTGTAAAAACAACAAAAAAAAATTAATCTTTTTTAATCTATTAAAATTTAATATTTTAAGGGTGAAATATGACTCAGGCATCTCTTGGTTTGAGATGTACACTCAGACCGTGGAGGTCATATGTTCACCAAAGCCGCATTTATGTGATTAAAATATAGTAAAAATGTTAATATTATGAACTATTATTACAATTTAAAATAACTTTTTAAAATAACTGAATATATTTTCAATGTAATTTATTTCTGTGATGCAAAGCTGAATTTTCAGCATCATTACTGCAGCCTTTCGTTTAAGCAGTGTTGAAAACAGTTGTGCAAACTGATACATCTTTTTTTCAGGATTCTTTGATGAATAGAAAGTTTAAAAGAACAGCGTTTATATGAAATAGAAACTTTTGTAACTTTATAAATGTCTTTACTGTCACTTTCGAGCAATTTAATGTGTCCTTGCTTATTAAATGTCTTTAAAAAACAAATAAACTCCAAACTTTTTAACAGTAGTGGTGTGTATTTCATAATTACTCAATCAATAAATCAAACACTAATCGGCATCCTCATAACCCTTTCAAACTAGTGATGAACAGTTTATTGTCCTCTGCGTTAAAAACGGCGAGCTGTTTAATGTTTGCCGTCCTTTTCTCTTTATTTTTGCTCACCTCAAGTAATCGTATGCGAACAGCTGGATTATTAGCTATGCATGAGAGGAACTATCTGCGGCTGACTCATTAATGGCCACCATCAATGGCCGTTAATTAGTTCAGATGCTTGTTTGTGTTGTCAACAAGATGTCTGTTTATATTTGCCAAGCGATCTGTGGTAAAACTGCAGCCACTGCACGCTCTGCCAGGCGTGACACAAACAAAATGTTTACGTGTTTTTTTAACATTCCTGTCACATTAAAGGGGACGTCCTCAGAGAAATAGAGTGCAGCCGAGTTTCAGGCCACGTATTTGGAAGGATGGCAAGGGATGCTAAATTGTCTGTGCCTTGGCTTGAATAACAAGAGAGATCGTTTTTCTGTCAAACTTAACTTTACACTGCAGTGTGTTACAAATAAAATCTGGTCAAGGAAATCAAAGGTCATTTAGAGGTGAAGCGTGAAATTTATTTGCCACTACCGTCCGTCACTAAATGGAATTGCAAAAATATTTAGATCTTCTGGAGAAAATGTGAGTGGATGTTAGAATGAAGTCAAAAGTAACGAAACGTGTTTCGTAACATACACCCATTTATTTTCTTCGGAATCATTTTCACAAATATAGTAAAGTTAGAAAATCACGAAAAACATTATATTATACCTTATACATTAATATTTTCAGATATGATATTTACAAATTGAAACCGATCGTGTAACCCTGTGAAATCCGTGTATCATTCGATCATTCGTTTTTTGATTTAATACTGAAAGTAGAAAAATGAGAAAACGGCTCCTTTTTCGTTTTTTTGTTTTTTACCAAAAAACGAAAAACTAGAATTCAGCTTAAATTTTCGTTTTTCGTTCATGGGTAGAAAAATGAATAAACAGCTTGAATATTCGATTTCTACATGTGGGCGGGAATTAAACGCCCCTTTCTGCTGATTGGTCAGCCGAAGATTAAACCGTGCCATCATCAGTTCTTCTGCAGTATCACGCAGCAGAATAATAGTCCTCCACTGCTGCAGTTGTACGGATTAATAACCCATTTTATCAATTTCATATTTTTCTCATCAAACAGACTAATGAATAGCTCGACACAACTCGAACCGGGGCAGAGTCTAGACAGGTATTTCTTCTGTGTAGACTAGCGGTTCTTAAAGTGATAGGGGGACCGAGAAATAATTTGCTATAGCCTAAAGTATTTCCAGACTGTAAAGTCGTTTTTTTTTATCATGATACATAGGCCTACTGTGATTTATTCCAAAGTGACTTATATGATGCATTTAATGTAAAATAATCTAAATGAAGCCTTTTAGTATACCCAAGCCAATTTATTATTCTTTCCTTTTTGTCTTAGTGTTTATTTTGAAAAAAAATAATTAATTTCTTAATTAAACAAACAAACAGACTTACTGTGTGAGCAGGGTAGGCTATGACAGCTGTCATATCATACCCTGCCATGCCCAGCTGATGCAAAGAATAGAATTTATTTATATCTACACAGAAGAAAGCCCTGTCTAGACTCTGCCCCAGTATGAGCTGTGTTGAGCTATTCATAAGCCAGTTTGACAAAAAAAGATTAAATCGAATATTCAAGCTGTTTATTCATTTTTCCACCCATGAACGAAGAATGAAAATGTAAGCTGAATTCTCGTTTTCCGTTTTTTGGAAAAAAACAAAAAAAACGAAAAAGGAGCCGTTTTCTCATTTTTCTACTTTCAATATTAAATAAAAAAACGAATGATCGAATGATACACGGATTCTGTCAGGTTAATAAGTAGTAAAATATGGGCCCAGTGTCCTCAGTGCAGCAATGACACCTCATGTGATTTCCTTATCCTTTCTGGACCGGAAGCTGTAAAAGAAATGATCAATACTATATTTTGTATATATTTATTTCTTTTTTTATATGCATGTCTTTTCTAATAAAAATATTTATTAAGTTTAATTAATTACCTTCTTAGAGCAAAGAGTTCCCATGTAACCACTTCTGCAAGCGCACACATTGGGTCGGACACATCGGCTTCCGTATAAACACCTCTGTTCACAGATTGCTGTGGAAAAATCATGTCATTATTTACTGTTTTATTAGGTTATATTTTAGATAATAGATATATTTTAGATGACAGATTTTGAACAGAGTTAGTACACATATGAAAAACATAATGGAATATGCAAATATAATGGCAGAAATTATATATATGATAGATAGATAGTTTCCAATGAAACCAGAGATTTGAAACTAAAAAAAAAAACAATTGTGTGTATATATATATATATATATATATATATATATATATATATACACATATTTTTTTATATTTTTTTATATATATATATATATATATATATATATACACACATCATTTTATATATTTTTTTTCTGGTTTCACAGCTCTGGTTTCATTGGAAACATATTTCTGTCTGTCTGTCTGTCTATCTATCTAATATATCTTGTAGATAGATAGAAAGATAGATGTTTCCAATGAAACAAACATTTTGTAATTGTATTTTGTAACCATGGTTTTATTGTGTGCATATTTTTCTAAATAGAAAGAGATGAAATAACTATCACAAAAGCAATTAATTTCTGCTTAGACTAAGACACAACTAAGACTGTGTGACTGGGGGAAAATAATAAAAAGAAAAGTTTAAAGATTAAAAAATAAGCCATTTTGAAGAATGTCCTGGCCGCTCTTTTCCATATGAAAGTGAACAAATGCTGTCAAGCTCCAAACAGATCGAAAAATCATAAATGGCATCATAAATTAGTCCATATGACCCATCTGCCATATTACAGCTTTATGTGAACTGATTTTTATTTTTTTCTAAATCTATCGCAGCTATCAAAACAACAAAAATGTCAAATATGTCACCATTAGATCTAAAGTTTCATGTTGAATTAACTATTCCTATGCAGGTCAATCTCAAGGAAAAGCCATTTCAAACTGATCCCGATCCACTCCCCTCGTGAGAACATCAGCATTCAAGTTTACTTCCAGCGGTAACCGTGAAGTCCTGCTCCCCTGCCAAACACAGACGATCTGTGCTGTTTATCAACAAAACATATCGCCAACAACCGCAGAGCGCAGGAACAGAGGAGATGCAATTATGATTATTTTACTGAGAACGAGAGCGAGTGAAGTGCGTGTCTTTGGAGGCTCACCGCAGTGTGGCTGTGGTGTAAGGATTGCATTTCTGTTGCTCGGATGGGAATCACTTACGGATTTGGCAGAGAGTTCCCTTCCAGCCGGGACGGCAGTGGCAGGTGTTCGGCTCCACACATTCACCTCCGTTTAAACACTTCTGCAGACACACAGCTGGAGGAACAGAAACAGAGAGCAAAACTACATCACACAAACAAACAAGGCTCAAATCACTGGAACACATGATCAAACGTGTGATTTTGTTATATTATACAAGTAGAATTGTTAGTTTCTGTTAAATATTACATAAGAACTGTGGGATTTCTGTTTAAAGATACTTCTCTGGGTGATTGAGGTCATCCCTGTGACTGGAATTTTTCCACTCTTGGACTTTTGCTAACATGAGGTAAGGAGGTCACTTCAAGGTCTTTGTCAGGCTGAGGTTTGGTACTCACGTTTATCACATCTCTTTCCCCTCCAGTCTGACGCGCAGTCACACACATCTGGTCCGACGCATCGCCCTCCGTTCATACACACTGGCTCACACACACCTGTGGAGAAATGGAAAGGTAAAGCTTTGGATTTACTCGGACCGATGAGGTAAAATAACTAAATTCAAAGTTTTGTAGACAGATAAAGGATTTTAGAGTAGGACTGGTCAAGATGTGTCTGAAATACCGATTACAATTCTGACAACAGTAACAAAACAGATCATATTAGAAAGATTTCTAAATAAAACAAAAAATAATAAAAACAAACATTATTAATAATAATGTACTAATTTATAGACTTTTTCAATTTAGATTTTTTTAAAGATTTAATACCATTATTGTTATTATTATTAATGTTTAATTTAATTATACTAATTATTCATACTTCCTGATACAAATTTGTATTTTTTATTATTTAATATGAAATATGACATTATTCTTATCATAATTGATAAAAGTTTTTAAATCTATTGTTTATTATTAATACATTATTCTGTTATTTTTATATTTAAAATTAGTTTTTTATGTTTAAATTATTATTTTTAATTATTTAATCTCACATTTATTATTAGTATAACTACTTAATGTTTAATTATTGATAAATTATTCATGTTATGATTTATTTTTAATTTTCAAATGTTCTTTGTCATTATTTAATATAATAAAGTCTGACATTATTATTAACATTATTATTATTATTATTACAAATACTTGCATTTTATTGAATGTCTTATTCATGAATTAGTTATTTAAATGTTTAATTATAAATTTGACATAATTATTTTAATATTATTATTATTATATAAAGACATTATTTTATCCATTTAAATTGGTCTTTTTCATTATTGACTATGATACTATTGCATTATTATTATTATTATTATTATTATTATTATTATTATTATTACCATTAGCATTTTCTTTATTCCAACTGTATTTAAAAGCAAAAATCAATTAGCTGCTTACTGATTATGGTGTGAAGTATGTTTAGAAAAAAATACTTTTACACTTGACCTCAACATAAGGACATTACCAATGGATCTTAAATGTTATTTTAATTAGAATATTCATTTAACGAGACTTGCCATCCAAATTATTTCATCCAGTCCTGATCCCATATGTCTCGTAATTCTCACACTGAAATAACTCTATCTTTGCTCAGATTCATCTCTCTTCCTCCTTGATCAGACAGGCCATATGTAACTCCTCAACTAACGTCTGATCTTGGCTCCCAGAGCGCCATTTTCTGTCATTTCGATCAACAAAACAACTCTATACTTTCCTTCCATATCCTGTGACTTAAATCCCATCATGCCATGTGTTTCAAAGGGGGCATAGAGGTATAAAACTATAAGTTTATGATTGGAGCTTTACCGAAACCTGTTCCTATCAAGACGACACTTACTTTTCTCACAGCGCGGCCCAGAATATCCCTCCACACATGAGCAGATGTTATTTCGTACACAGTGACCACCGTTCTTGCAGGATGGGCTGCACACGGCTGAAAGTAAGAGAAGCACATAAAAGTCCAGCATTTGATGAATGAAAATCACACCTGTGTTCTCTAAACTGAAGACGGACACATCAAACAGCCGTAAGGTCAAATAACCGACAGCAAATCTGACATGACTGGCAAAACACACTCTAAAAGCTCCTACATTTCACAAAACTTGAAGCAACCCAGACATTAGAGTCATTCCCCATCATCAAAAACATCTTTACCAAGCTGCTGTTTCAAGCCATTACTTGAATCATTCCTCACCACAAGAAGCTGCTGCAGAGGAATCGATATATACACATCAAACGTCCTGAATCTGGGGCTACGACATGAGCGCAAGACTTCAATAGAATCCAAATGGTTTTTAGGGCTGGTCCATTTTATCGTTTTAAAGTGCAGTAGTCATGCTTCACCTCACACTCTTAAGAAATTGATATCCGGCCTTTGTAAGCTCTCAAAAAACAAGGCGATGCATCAGGAAAGAAGATTCAAAAATAAGTGCTGTTACCGTTTTGACACCGAGCCCCGTAGAAACCAGGCTGGCAGGTGCAGGTGTTCAGCCGAATGCAGGTTCCACCGTTGAGACACACGGGGTCACACAGAGCTGTAGACAGATACATTTATTAAATAAAACAAGTATAAAACCTCTGCGGGTGTTTCGGGGTCAGATCTCACTGTGTTTGTGAGGTCAAAATCACAGCTGAGGTGTTAAAAATAATGATTTACTTCTGCAAAGAGAGTAAATCTGGTCTACGAGTGATTGTCAAAGAAATTAGTTATTGTTCGATGTCAAACTCTATTAAAAACCTTTTGAAATTCATAAATTTAAATTGTACATGCTGTGCCACAATGATGTTTATACAACAGAGTTCTGGGCTAGAATTATGATAAATATATATATATATTAGGGATGTGCGCGACGATTTGACTGTCATTTAAACGAAAGTTTTGTATCCGACTAGTCTAAAAGCAAGAAACCCCCAAAAGATGGTAAGAAAAAAAAACCCTCGGTGCATGCGTGTAGCATATATAATAGCCTATATCTGAAATACTTAATCTATGAATCACACAGTCAAATCCCTCAATGAATACGGCGAATAGACGGCGCGGACGGGATCGCTAGCGCCGGCGGGTTGGAGTGAATGACACATTTGCTGGCTTTAGTCAGCCTCTAAGCTAAAGCTAAGTTTACACAAAACTTTTCCGTTTCCTTCTAATTCAGAATAACCCCACACCTTGTTCTCTTTCGCATGGTCATTTTTGAACTCGCGGCAACTGACACGAAGAAAATGCATGTGAGGTCTGAGGTAAAAATGTAGTTTCCACCGAGATAAACTTTTAAAAATAATGTATTATTTTTCAAACGTTTTATTTTAACTTGTTATTTAAAATATTTTAAATGCAATGTTAAAATGACGGTAATTTGAATGATAAAATCATGTTTTTTTTTTTCTGTCGTGTAATCGACTATTGTTTTCAGTGTCGACTAGTAGGAGCTGTACCGTTTAGTCGACTAGTCGACTA